TGGTCTTCAACTCCTGAAGTGATCCACCCGCCTTGGCCTCCCAAAGTGCTGATATTACAGGTGTGTGCCACCATGTCCTGGCTGCTATTACTTTTTTACAAAAGAAAAATACTTGCTGATTTGTGGTGATGAGTATAAATGTACACTACATACTAGCTGCAGAGAACCATGGATCATCGGTTCTATATACAACATGACCAACTGGTTTGGCTAAAAAGTGTGTTTAGAACTGTTTTCTTGCTGAAATTATTTTGTCTTAAGCAGTAACAACTCTTACTGTTTTCTGCTAAAATTGAATGTTTCAAATAAATCAAATTTTTGCCTTAAGTGCCAACCCATTTTGAAGGCTTCTCAAACACAGCAATACTAATTTCCCTGCCTTCTTAAGCAAATTATAAAGAATATAGGGTAGATTTCTTTGATGACACAAGGTCATTTTTTTAAAACCACAATTACCATTCATAGTTAGTCCTCAGAGCCTGTGTGTTCCCTACTCTAAATGTTACTAGATTCAAGTCTTTTATTTAAGTTTTTCTTCTTTGATACCAAGTTGTTCATTATTGCTTGTTAAGGTATAAAACATGCTTGCTTTTACCAGTTTCCCTCCTCTCTTTCATCTGTTGGTGAAAGTTTATTAGAATTCTATTCAAAATAAAGCAGCCTCTTACTGGGGACTTGAAAAACTGTTCCATGAGTATAGCTTTGGTGATAGAATCTAAGAAAATCCATTTAGGTTTCTTCAGGCTTTATTTCAGATTGCAGACCATTTCAGACAGTGATACTGTTAATGTACTACAAACCTAATGGAAATAACAACCACGGCTCATGTTGACTATTAGCAATAGCCTTTGACCTGCTTTTTTTTGCTTTGACTCATACCTCTGCACAAATTATCCAGAGTGATCCTTAAAAATGTAAATCTGATTATGTCGCATCTCTGCTTAAAATCTTCCTCTGGCCTCCTCAGACCTGGAATAAATCCAGGTCTTTTCCCCTTGGCTTCCATGACCTCACCTTGCCTACCTCATTTCCCACCTCTTTCTCTGGTTTACTGGGATTGCTTGCTGTTCCTCAAAGAATAAACTCTCATCTCAGAGATTGGGTGTTTGTCATTTCCTTATCGTAGCACGCTTCTCTGCTTGGCCTTCTCCCTATTTCCTTCAGATTTCTTCTTAAATTCCACCTCCTCAGAGATGGCTACAAGCATTCGATTCAATACAGCAACTCGCCACTCCCCAAATCTCAGCCTGTTTTACTTTCTTCAGCGTGCTACTAACATTTGAAATTAACTTACATATATGTTTATTATTTATCACCCATCTAAGGATGTAAACTCCATGAGAGCAGGGGTTTTGTTTTATTCATGAATGCATTTCCTGGGTACAGAAAAGGAATGTCTGTAGGGGCTCAACAGATAATTTTTGAGAGATTCCTTTAAGTTATTTAATTCCCATTAGAATTCTAAGAGGTAGACATTATTGAATGGCCATTTCATAGGTGAACAAATTGGATCTTAAACAAGTTAAATAAACTTGTCCCAAATCCAGTCCAGTCACTAAATACTGAAAGCAAAGGAGCTGAGAGCAAAGGAGTAGGTCATGCCTGGTGTGAGCTCTGATTGATATCTAATTTAGATATGATCACTGAAGTCGCTTGGGTACTTTAAATACACAAGCAGCAAACTTGATTTGAGAGCAAGTACATAGGAGAGAAAAGAAAAATGTTAAGTGTAAATGTTTTTCTTTTCCCAAGGAAGAACATTAGCAACTGATGGTTAGGTACTTCAGGCTAACAGAGAAACATACCATGTAGCTAAATCCCACCAAGTTTTCCTGAACCTTGAACCTGGAGGCTGCTGGGGAATAGAAACACTTGCATCAGAGGTAGAAAAACTTTTCTGGCAGTGCCAGAGGCAGAGACTGAATGGAGTCGCTGGGGCTGTCACAGCAACTTGGCCAGAAGGTCTGGTATCTACAGTGGGACAGAGCTCCTCAAGATATACTTTGGTGTGTAAGTCAGTCATAAATCTATTGTTTATAAATTTAACACTACCTGGCATTAGTGTTTTGACAAGTGTACTATATACAAGAAAAACAAAAAAAAGGAAATCACAAAGGAATAAACTGACAGTATTAGATGTGGTACATACTAAGATATGCCACCCAGCTCCTCCTGCAAGGATGGACATGGTGCCCAGCTACAGAGTGTTGTCAGTGGACTGCCTACAGCTGTTGGCTCTTGCACGATCCGCCATGCTTGAGATCACATCCTTCCCAAAACCGCCCACATCCAGTGACTTGACAAAGGCATAGGTCAAAAGGCCTACTTACTTTGGCCTAATCACAACATTGCGACAGATGACACTAGCTCAGAGGTCCCCTCTGGGTTTGCCAACTTTTTCTAGGTCTGCATTAGAGTACTCTCATTTCTTCTGCTTATTCCTGCTTCTTTGCTCTTACCCTTCACAGGCATGGATCTCTGAGAGTTATACATATAAATCTCTTGTACTTCAAACCCCTTTGAAGGTCTTCTGCAGAACCCCATCTGTGACATTAGGTTTATTCATTCAGCTAATAAAATGTTTCTATTGCTACATTAGAACTAAAAGGCTCTGGCTATCTAGTGATGACTGAAACAGTCACAGTCACTGAACTCATGGGGGTTATCACCTAGTAGAGGTGACAGATGTTAAATAACAATGAAAAATAATAAAAACCTTTATTTTACTGTCATTAGGGTTTGTGGAAAAAAAATAATACCCCCTAATATTGACAAATCTACCAGCTAGCATATATGTGAAGTACTGTTTTCATGTTAAGATTTTGACAACATGGATAACTACTTAGAAGTTACTCTTCTATCAAAATAACAATAAAATGGTTGATATAAAAAATTTTGTTGACTTTATTTAATCCTTTCAGATCTCTAATCTTATACCATCACCCAGTTACTTACCAATGTCCTATGAAACTAGATCGCTGGTAATATGAGGCTGCATGTGGACTTTTGAAATAAATAAGGCAAATGTAGACTCTTAACTAGTAGAGATCTACCTGCCAGCATCTACCCTTCTAAGAGCACCTGTTTCCTGTGGTAAACGGCCTCCTCCAGGACTCCTTTAGATTCATGTGGTATATGTGAGGAGTGTCACCTACATTTAAGTAACAACGAACAGTATTTTCCATCCCCTAGCTACAGTGGCTGGTTCAGGAATGTGCACATAATCCAAGGCAGACCAGTAACAGTGAGTTCCTAGACTTCTGCTGGAACTATAAGGCAAGAGTATCTCATGCCAGCGGGATCAGAAAGCTAGCAGAATGTAAGCCTTGAGCTTCTAACGGCCATCATTCTGTGTGAGAATGAAACCGACTCAGAGTAATATTGACAACAGCAGGGGAAAGCACTACTATCATACCCTACTTACTATGTGTCAGGCATTGTTTCAAGAACTTTATAAGCACTAAACATGTAATACTTACAATGTACAGATGTGAACAGATATGGAATATTGCCCTAGGTTATACACAAGTGAATGACACAAGTGGGATTTGAATTCTAGTGGGATCCATGTCCCTCATGCCATGTATACTCCTCATCATAAAAATGAGAGCCAAAGGAAAAAGCCTGTCTCAGAGAGAACCATCTTAGCACCTACCTCCACGCTGGGCCTGCAGTGTGTAGCTGGACTCATCACCTAATTAAGTCAATACATGACTTTTCTTTTTGCAAAATCAGTCTGAATTGGGTTTATAGTATGGCAACTGAAAGAGTCCTAGGAGGGTAAGGCTGCAGTTATCGATGATCGCACCACTGCACTCCAACTTGGGAGAATGGGTGAGGTCCTTTCTAAAAAAAAAAAAAAAAAAAAAGTTTTTTATATATTTTTATTTTATTTTTTAAAAATGAACTCAAACTCCTGGGCTCGGCCTCCCTAAGTAGTGCTGGGATTACAGGCATGAGCCATTGTGCTTGGCCCTAAAATATTTTTGAAGAATATTTATGCATATGATAATATGCTATTTTTCAAAAATAACAAAACTACATATTCATTATAACAATTTTGTAAATAAGAAATGTATGTGGAACAAAGCCACAAATATAGCAAAATATAGTGATCTCTCTCAAAAAATTGTGGGAAACTTGATTTTTTATTCTCTCCTGAATTGTTGATGTTTTCTACAATAATGTTTTAAAATTACAGGAGGCAAAAAGAAGTTAAACTCTTAAGATGTAAAATACTCTTAACTCACACTACAAAACCACTTGGGTATCTTATACCAAACTGAACCTAAATTAAATTTCCAGTGATTCAATCACAGAATGTAAACTCCATGAAGGTAACTTCCTTTTTCCTGCTTAATTTACTGCTGTACCTCCAATGGCTACATCAGTCTCTGGCACCTGAGTGCTTTTTCAATGAAAGGTGAAGAGAAAAATGAACTGGCAGTGTATTTCCACCATACTAGCAAGATGTTTATTACATAAGAACTGTTTTTTTTTTTTTTTAAACATTATAGTTAAGACATGACATAATTCAATGGTCAAGCTAATAAATCTATACCATTTTAAGAGTCTGAATTTAGTTTTAAGTGAAAAAATGCAGAGAAAAGGAGTGAAGGATACAGAATTATCTTGATATGTACTGCTGTATTATTACCATGCTAAAGATCTCTTTTGTTTCATAAATCTACCGATATTTACTGAGAATGAAAGCTGTGAATGGAAGGCTAGATAAAGAGAACTGTAAAAAGGGTTGTATATACTAGTTGCCCCCAGTAGTTCCCAGGCCTCACTTCCAAGCTGCCTTAAGTAATTTTTACTTTCTGAATACAGGAAGCCAACTGTGGAGGAGTCACAGTTGAGGACTGACTCCTTAAAAACTGGCTTCAGAGAAAAGCATAATTACAACTGAGGCATCAGGTCTTAAGGTTTAAAACAACAGTCTTATGGTTGTCACATTATCATATTATGTCATCTCTAAAAATAAATGCACATGCATCCCAGAATCTCCAAAATCTTTATTTTTAAAGTCCAACCTCTTTTTAAGAAGTGGTAAAATGAAGAAGCATTGTTAGTAGTCACCTAACAAAAGCTGTCCATTATTCTTGACATTAAAAATTGAATGCAATGATTTAAAAAAACATAATACATTAACATTTATACAATATATTTAGAATCACATGGTTTCCAGTGATTAGAATTTAGTCATGCCTGGAAAGGAGCAGAAGACAGTGGCTATGCAGCACATTCCTTATGAAGGATACATAAATGGTATACTTAGGATGACTAATATTAAGAATTTAAACAGTGCATTTTTTTTCTCTCAGAGGAAGCAATTTTAGTTTCTAAAGAGCATTTACTTCTGACATCTCAATTCCCGATTTCAGTGGCTGCAGACTGTGTACTTCTGTGCCACATTTAGGACAAGTAAAGTACATGTCAAATAAGAAACTACTCTTAGCACAGAAGTAACAGAAGATATGCTCACATCCTATGGTGTGAGGCAAGGTGGGCCACTCTCCACACAGAGAACATTCTTTGCCATTGGTGGCTAATATATTGTCACTATTAGGTGCACCAGTAAGAGGGATATACCATGAAGATAGCTTGGCTTTCAACTTCTGGACATTGATAAGTGGTAAGAGAAAAATCAGAAATTCAGCAAAACCATGCCAGAGAAGTTCCCTATTCATGTATTCAAAGCCAACTTCACGTATGTTTTGAGGCATGCAACACACAGAATGAATGCCTAGGAGACGTTCTGTCAAAGTTGCAAACTTTCCCCTCTGAAGGAAAATCAAAAAATTAATCAGCCCACCTAATTTCAAAAGTCCAACCACAAAATTCACGCACTGCTTGACTTTCCCAAATGATGCTAAATGATGGTTTCGAAGCAAATCGTAGCATCGTTCTTCTAACCATCTCCCACCAATTGTACAAACAGCATACCAAATTTTTTGATTTTTACTAGGTGGCTGATATCTCAGGTTAGGGGAAAAGTCATTTTTGTACTGAATATTCAAAACTGACTGTCCCACTGTGGCATTTTTGGAGTAGATGGTGAATCTCCACAAGAAAAGCCATAAGCATGCTTTCACCTCTGGTTCAAAGCGAGCTAATAGCCCAGGTTTAAATCCATGAAAGCACTGAGTAAACTGGGACCACACAAGCTGCTCCAGGGCCTTGTTTAGTTCAAGTGCATCCAACTGGCTTATTCTTAGCACTCTGTTTGTACTCTTCGCATTCTCTTTTTTGGAAGTCATGTCTTCTCTGAAGGTCTCTAGGAAAAAATACAATTCAAGAACATCAGCAAAGAGTTAAAATCTTGTACGACCTCCTTAATTTATGCCTGGAAACTGTAATACACAAATTACACAGGACAGATAGGAGATGAGCCTTTCAGGAGTCTAAAATAGTACAGGGAATCATCACTTCTTACCTGAAACTTCTTTCTGTCTTGTCTCTCAGAGCCTTTCTTTTCTTCCCCTGCCTTTTTTTCTTCTTAATTTCTTTTTCTTTTTTTCTTGGCCCTCTTCATCAAAGAAATGATAACAAACAACAGAACAAAACAAAACCTATAACCTATTTCCACAAATATACTTCTAAGCAATACTCCTTGGTCAGATATTCTAGCAGGGAGTTATCCAAATCCTGAAGTTAACAGAAAGGAGGCTGAATAATATGACTAATGAAGAGATATAGAAATGTATTAAGTACAACTACCTAGAACATTGCAATAGATGGTTAAATCAAGACCTCAGTTTATTTTCCAGCACTTCTACTGATTTCAAAGGTATTATTTTTCAGTAAGCCATTTAATCTTTCTCAAATACATTTTATATGTGTAAAAGAAGTTATAGAAAAATAATGAATGATACATGTTTATTAATTCTATCACACCACTGCAGAAAATAAATAGTACTAGATCTTAGCACGAAGCAACAAGAATGCAGAAAAATCATTATTCAGGTACTAAAAATGTATACATCATGCAGTACTCTAAGAAAACTGTGATATAAAAATATATACCACAATAATTTCATAAATACATTAAGGAAACAAATTGGTGCTAAAGGGAAAAAATTTAACTAGATTACAAAAAGCTGATTAATGGTTACCTAGGTACAGCTTACTGATTCAATATACATACATTATTATAAGTACCTATTATGTGCAAGCTGATGTAATTTAAACACCCAGTCACTGCTATAGTCCAGTATACAGACCAGTTCAGATATTTTAAATATTATTAACTGGAAAATCCACCCATGACCAAAAAAAAAAAAAAAAAAAATCAGGCTTAAATTTAGTTGCTTCTATGAGTTCAACTTTTTTAGATTCTACATATAAGTGAGATCATACTTATAAGTGAGATCATACTTATATGTAGAATCTAAAAAAGTTAAATTCACAGAGGCAGAGAGCAAAATGGTGGTTGGTAGGGGCCACAGGGGTGAGGGAAATGGGCAATGTTAGTCAAAGGGTACAAATTTTCAGTTATAAGATGACTATGTTCTGGGGAACTCATGTCCACAATAGCGTAGTTAATAATGCTCTATTATTTCTTTGAAATTTGCCAAGAGCAAATCTGAAGTGTCCTCATGACACACATACACACAGACGGTAAATAAATGTGGGTGGTGATTGATGTGGTAATAAACTTGATTGTGGCAGTCACTTCACAATATATACAGATATGAAATCACTACATTGCACACTTTGAATATATACCATTTTTATTGGTCAATTATACTTCAGTAAAGCTGGGGGAAAAGAAACACAAAAAAATTAAAATGGGTTATCACCACTCTGGGCTTGATTATCGTGTCCAGGCCTTTAAAAGGCCAATATGCTAACAAAAAGAACAGTTACAGAGGGAGGCATGGATCCTGCCAGAGCTCACTGCCATGGTCTGGTCATGTATTCTTTGACAAGTCATTTCCTCTGACCTTGACCTATGCCTTAGTTTCTTCACTTATAAAACAAAGGGCTAGAGACAAAATGACTTTCAAATTCCTTTCAAATTCTATTCTGTTATGATTTTTACTAAAAAGATGATACATGCAAATTATTAGAAGGTAAAAATAACTTGTCTTTCTTGAAATTGGGAGTATCTTTGACAACAGAAAATGTTTTCAAGAGAGAAGTTCTAAATTTACCCATGCATCCTAGAAGACTTAGTGGCAGAAGACTACATGTTTAACAAGTTCAAGTCCAGGAAACAAAAATGACCACTGAATAGGTTGTTTGGTCCTATTTTTCTCTCAACCCACATATGTAACAGGAATGCTTCTCACCATAAATGCCAACCATCTTCTGGAGAGATCTCACCTTTTTCCCGTTCCGGCAACTCCCTCAAGACTGGACAGCCTATAGCTATGGCAGTGGGAATTTCTGCTGCAAGTTCTTCTGTGAAATCCTTGCCTCATACTTGCCAGAAGCTACACACAAAAAATAATAAAGTTAGAGAGTAGCCTTTCCTCATTTTACAAATCAAGTCTATCACCAAGGACTGTTGATACTTGGTCTAAAATTTTTCCTAACTTATCTGTCATTCCCTATTCCTTGCAAGCCTTTTCCTGAATACTGGCTGCTCTCCTCTCTCGTGGATTCCATCAAATTGGTCTGTCTTACCTTCTGCCTCCTTCAGTGCCTTCCCCACTCTGCCACTGTTCTAAAACACAAACTTCCCCAAACCCACTCCCAGCCTGCTTTCCTTCCTTACGCGTCATATCCAGTCAAAAAGTACCCCCTTCTCTTGTTTACCAGTAGACGTCACCAACTGTTCCCTTTGTGTGGAACAGTCTGTTTCCATTCTTTAACTGAAAACTCATACTAAGTTTTTAAGTACTGGCTCAGACATAACTTTCTTCTGACTCTCCAAATTTGGGTTGCTGCCCATCTAGCTGTTCCCTTGGCACTCTATTCTTTCTCTTTCTTGGCCTCTATGTACTGTACATAAACTACTTTTAAATTGTTTCTTTCCTCCACTAGAGAATAAGCACTGTTGTAAAGTTTATTTGAGCCTTATCACGGTTGAATCATAACAACTATCACAGTTCCTGGTACACAGAAGGCACTCTACATGCACTAGATAAATGGATAAATGAAAAGGATCAAAGTCTGGGATGTGTGAAGGACAGAAAATATAAATTTCCATCCATTACCCTTTAAAATGATTTCAAATTACCATATCCAGAATAGTGATAATTAATAACTTCACTAATTTCAACATGTTTATTGTGCATCTGTTATATACCTATTAATGAGAGTTAGTGATATAATGATACAACAGACACTGTCTCAACCCTTGTGGAGCCTATAGTCTACTGTGGAACGAGAGAGAAAAGTAAGGGTGTGCTATGTAAAATGAACAGAGGACTACAATAAGGTGCGATCAGTGATATGCAAGGGAAAAGTAGGGCACTATGGTTACAACTATACACGAGAAGGTCAGAGAAGGCTTCCTATGAGAGACTACCTAAGCAGCCACCTGAAGGATTAGCACATCAGCCTGGTAAAGGAGGGTAAGAATGTTATTGCCAATGGTGGGAAGAGTAGGTACAAGACTAGATGTGTACAGATAAGGATGGAAAGAAAGCAGGAGACAGGTCCTACAAGCCCTAGAAGCCAAACTGAGGAGGCTTTATTTTATAAAGAGTGGTACGCAAACAAGTAGTAAGAGTTACATTTTCTGGCCACCCTAAGGAAGAATACATTAGAGGCTGAGAAAAAGACTGGAAACATGGAGACTAGTTAACAGGTTGTTAGAATGATCTAGTGAGAAACTAATAATGACCTAAAATAGAAAACTATCAATGGGGACAGAGAGAAAAGGGTATCTTTGAAAGCAGTAAGGTGGTAGAACTGACACTATCTAGAGAGAAACAAGCCAAGAAAAACTGACTTAAGTAACTGAATGATAGTGATCCAAGTCCCTGAAACAAGAAATACACGAGGCAATACAGGTTTGAACAGAAAGATAATAAATACATGCAATTTTAAAGATCTGGGGCTTCTATGAGACATCTAAGTGGAAAAGTTCAGTTGAGAGAGAAAATCTGGGTAGAATTTTAGAAGTCTGATGCCCCTCTGGTAAAACTAATCTATTTCAAATCTACTTGATCTACATAAGTGCTAAAATCAAGAAGGCAGTAATTTAAAACAAGATAGATCTTGTCTATTTGTAACACATTCAACTTTCTTTGTAACAACATAATCTTATTAGAGTTTTTAACTGCTAACAGATATATATTTATGATGAAGATACATATATATCTGGGCTTTTAATCCTTCTAAACTGGTCTTCAACATTACAGTTCTGTGGTCTCTGCTCCTCTAGTCTAATGATTTTCAAACTTGGGAGTTCATCAGAATCACGTAAGAAAACAGACATACCTCAGGCACACTGCAGGTTAGGTTACAGAGCACTGCGACAAAGCAAATATCATAATAAAGTAAGTTGCATCACTTTTTGTTTTTCCAATGCATATAAAACTTACATTTACACTATACTGCAGTCTATTAAGTGTGCAAAAGCATTGTGTCCTTAAAAACAATGTATATATCTTGGCTTTTTTTTTTTTTTTTTTTTTGAGACAGAGTCTCATTCTGTTGCCAGGCTGGAGTGAAGTGGCCTGATCTTGGCTCACTGCAACCTCCACCTCCCTAGTTCAAGCAATTCTCTTGCCTCAGCCTCCTGAGAAGCTGGGACTACAGGCACATGCCACTACGCCCAGCTAATTTTTGTATTTTTAGTAGAGATGGTGTTTAACCATGTTGGCCAGGATGGTCTTGATCTCTTGATCTCATGATCCTCCTGCCTTGGCCTCCCAAAGTGCTGAGACTACAGGCACAAGCCACCGCGCCCGGCCAACAATGTAGATATCTTAATTAAAAATCACTTGATTGCTAAAAAATGCTAACAACCATCTGAGCCTTCAGTGAGTTAAAATCTTTTTGATAGTGGAGGGTCTTGTCTTGATACTGATGCCTGCTGACTGATCAAGGTGATGACTGCTTAAGACTGGGGTGGTTGTGGCAATATCTTAAGACAACAACAAAATTTGCCACGTGGATTGACTTTTCATTTCATGAAAGATTTCTCTGTAGCATGTGAAGCTTTCTCATAGCTTTTACCCATAGTAAAACTTCTTTCAAAACTGATTCAACAGTCTCAAACTCTGCCATTGCTTTATCAATTACGTTTATGGGGTATTCTAAATCCTTTGCTGTCTTTTCAACAATGTTTACAGCATTTCCTCAGGTATAGAATCCAACTCAAGAAACCAATTTCTTTGCTTATCCATAAGAAGCAACTCACTGGATGCAGTGGCTCATGCCTATAATTCCAGCCCTTTGAGAGGCCAAGGGAGGACTGCCAGGCAACATAGGGAGACACTATCTCTATAAAAAATAAAAATAGCCAGGTGTGCTAGCATGCACCTGTAGTCCTAGCCACTAAGAGGAGGCCGAGGCAGGAGGGTTGCTTGAGCCCAGGAGACTGAGAGGCTGCAGGGAGCTGACTGTGCTATTGTACACCAGCCTGAGTAACAGAGCAAGACCGTCATCTCAAAAAACAAGGTGGGGGAAGCAACTCTTTATCCATTCAAGTTCTATTATGCGATTGTAGCACAACAGTTGTATCTTCAGGCTCCACTCTAAATCTAGTTATCTTGCTATTTCCACCACTTCTGTAGTTATTTCCTCCACTCAAGTCTTGAAACCCTCAAAGCCATCAACAATGGTTAGAATCAACTTCTTACAAGCTACTGTTCATGTTGATATGTTGACCCTTTCTCATGAATCATGTTCTTAATGATACACAGAAAGGTGAATCCTTTCCAGAAGGTTTTCGATTTACTTTGCCCAGGTCCATGAGAGAAACTGCTATTGGCAGCTATAGCCTTATGAAATGTAGTTCTTAAAAAATAAGATGAAAAAGTCAAAATTACTCCTTGATCCATAGGCTGCAGAATGGATGCTGTGATAGCAGGTATGAGAACATTAATTTCCTTGTATATCTTCATCAGAGCTCTTGGGTGACTAAGGTGCACATACATGAGCAGTAGCATTTTGAAATATATTTTTTTAGCAGGTCTCCACTGTGTGCCTATTGAGTAAACCATGCTGTAAACAGATGTGCTGTCATCTAGGCTTTGTTTTTCTTTTTCATTTATAAAGCACAGGCAGAGTAGGTATAGTGTAATACTTAAGGGTTTTCAAATTTTTAGAATGGAAATAAGCATTGCCTTCAATTTAAAGTCACTAGCTACATTAGCCCCCAATAGGAAAGTCAGCCTGTCTTTTGTAGCCACATATTGGCTTATATCTCGCTATCAAAGTGATATGTGGTATTTTCTTCCAATATAAGGCTTTTGTGTACCTTGAAAATATATTGTCTAGTATAGCCACCTTCATAAATTATTTAGCTAGAGCTTCTAGATAAGTTGCTGCAGCTCCTATCTTAGCATTTGCTGCTTTATCTTGCATGTTTATATTATAAAAGTTGGTTATTGCCTTAAATCTCATGAACCAATCTCTGCTAGCTTCCACCTTTTCCTCTGCAGCTTCCTCACCTCTCTGTCATAAAGAACTTAAGAGAGTTAGGAACTTGCTCTGGATTAGGCTATGGCTTAAGGTAATTTTGTGGCTGGTTTGATCGTCTACCCAGACCACTAAAACTTTTTCCCTATCAGCAGTAAGGCTACTTTCTTTAATTCATATGTTCCCTGGAGTAGCACCTCCAATTCCCTTCAAGAACTTTTCCTTTGCATTCACAACTTGGCTGTTTGGTACAAGAGGTCTAGCTTTTGGCCTATCTTGGCTTCTGACATGGCTTCCTCACTAAGCTTTATCATTTCTAGATTTTGATTTGAAGTCAGAGATGTACAACCCTTCCTTTCACTTGAACACTTAGAGGCCACTGTAGGATTATTTTAATCAGTCTAATTTTAACATTGTGTCTCAGGGAATAGGTAAGTCGGCAGAACAGGCAGAACACAGAATATTTATTAAATTCACCATCTTATATGGATACAATTCTTGGTGCTCCAGAATATTTATTAAGTTCACCATCTTATATGGTATAGTTTGTGATCCCCAGAACAATTACAATAGTAATATCAAAGATCATTGATCACAGGACACCATTAAGAATATAATTAAAAAACTGAAATATTGCAAGAATTAGAATTGCTTAAATGTTACACATAGACACAAAGTTTAGTACATGCTGTTGAAAAAAAATTATGCAGACAGACTTGACTCAGGTTTGCTACAAACCTTTAATTTGTAAAAGCAGTATCTTCAAACCAGAAAGCACCGTAAAATATAAGGAGGTGTAAAGTAGGCTATACCAAGTAGGTTTGCGTAAGTATACTCTATGATGTTTGCACAATGATGAAATCATGAAACTACGCACTTCTCAGAATGTACCCCC